GCAGGATGTTTCCCAAATAGCAGTAGTCTTGTCAGGAGCTAATTCTGGGTCTCCACAGCCTGAATTTCCTTCCAGATTCAAAGGATAACGCAGTATTTGAGATGAGGCTTGGCAAAGTCACCTTATCCCCAAAAATGGCATGATTTCCTCTTCAGGTTCATGCCAATCAAATTTTTCTAAAACCTAACTCACTTTTTGCATCCTCAGATCAAAAGCCTCTTTTTCCAAGTTTTATTTTAATTTGGATTACAGTACTCACATTTTTCTGATATTTAGAATTAGCTTTCTCTGGGTAAAATAGAAAACAAACATTGCAAGAGCATCAGAATTTGTGAACGCCAGAAATGAAACTACCTTCTGGCTTTCTTCTCTCACCAATATCCGCTGCTAACAGATCCAGGACAAATGAGTCTTACTCTTCTACGTTCTAAGTAACTCCAGCTCCAACCAAGTTTCTAATTTCATGCTCTTCTAAGTTCTTTAACCTCCGTATGATCTTGGAATTATCCAGAATTCAGAAATCACCCTAGACCCAAGCAGCTTGAAAACAGATCCTCTTTATTTGGTGACCAGCTCCACCTATGCTTTCAAAACAGGCTGCAAAAGCTATTTTTACTCCATATTTGGAGTCCTTTCTCCAAGCTTCCCATCTCTGGAACTCAAATAATTCCAGACGATTCCGAGTACCACTGTTGCCTGCTCCACAAGCTAGAGATCTGCTAAAAGCAATTCCTTCTCTGTACTCTCCAGCTACAGATAAATTCTAGAGATGTTAGCTAGGTTTGCAAAAACAAACAAACACCAAACACCCAAAGAAACCACAAACAAACAACAAAAAAATGGAGCTTATGCCATACCACTTATTAAAAGTCAACACTACTAGAGAGCTTTTTAAGTCTCTATCTGAAGCACAAACTTGTTCTTTAGCAAAGCCAGGTTTCCATCTGAAATGTTAAGCAGATCAATATTAAGGGAGCGAACAGAAAGAGCACGAACCTCTAAGCTCACGACTCTACCATACCTGATGACAATTCACTACTTTTACTGTATTTTGAGCACAATTCATAACTGTCAAATCACATCAGCCCTGACCCGTAGAGCTCTACCCAATCTCTCTGAAATGTCAGGAGTAAGATGTATAGACACAATGCAGACTTGTATAACAAGATGCTCCTTAGACAATCCAGAAGTGCTGTAGTTCTCAGGACTTTTTTCTCCAACTCTGAAAATGACACCAGCAGTCAGTGGCTCTCTAGGTGCAATTAAATGTATTAGAGTTTCATGTAACAAAACTAATTAATTGCACCTTCAGAATCTCTATTTCGACAGCAAGATGGAGGAACCTCTGAGGAATAGAAACCTGCACTCCACTGACTGCTCGTCAGGGATGTGGAGGAAGGCCTTTCCATTTTAATTGGAAGCAGAAATCATCACTGTATTTCACTCCTCAGCAGGTTGCCACACTTCTGCAGTGACTTAGAGGCCACGTTGCCAAGCCCTACTCTCCCGGTTCATCGATTACAAATCAAAAGGCATCAGGGAAGGAAGGAGCAACTGTGAGACAACTTATAAGAATTTTCAAAGAATGTGATGTAGCATTTCTCTTTAATTTCTCTCTTGGGAGTTTTGTGAGTAATGTAAAATTAAAATATCCACAAAGCACTGCTATGGCTTATTTTTAATTAAGAAGTTGAGTAACAATTGCTTTGTATTACCAGCCATTGGCACAGAGGCAACAAGGATGCTTTCTTATTCTCTCTGAAGTGCACTTTATATTAGAGATGGAAGAATACAGTTTCACCAGGTTTCCTAAGCCTTTTTCTACTGCATGCTGGCCAAGCTGCAAACATGATTTTACTCAACTGAATAGGAGTACAGCAGTCACTGCAAAGACAGCGCGCTAAGAATATTACAAAGTTTCCTACTTAAAGCTCTATTTTTATTTTGCATGTCCTGAAAAGTATTACAAACTTACAGAGCGGTTTTATTGCAAATTTAATGACAGAAGAAATACGTGTAGTTGATCTACCAAGTTTTACAACTAGATGAAGGAATAACATTTACAAGATTACCAGCTTTATGTTTTCCGAGCGTGGTCCTACAGACTGCACCAAGATGAGCAGTAACACAGCAGAATGGTGAAACAATACTCAACACCACCTCACAGAAAGGCTCTTTAACCAAATTAATTCAAACTGGCCTAGTTGTGGTCGCACAGGCAGAAAGCTGAAAGCCCAAAGCAGGCAGAAAGGAGACATCTTAAACATCTTTAAACATGATGTGGGAAAGGGAAAAACAGCAAATTAGTTAGCAAATCCTGCTAGACAGGATAGATTTGAAAATGTGGGGGAAAGGTTTTTGGAAGCTAAAAATACATGTGCAAGAAAGATGAAAAAAGCAACCTTTAGAATACATGCAATCCATCTGGAGAAAAATAATCCAGAACCACAGCAGATAAGAAAGACAGGAGTGCAGTGATGTGGAGCAAGTCTGAAAAGCAACAGTGGGAAAAATTGTACAAAATTTTCAATGCACCATAACAGCAAAAAAAAAAAAAAAAGGAAAAAAATGACATTTGTCGACTGCATAAGTAAAGCCCTGTAGTCCAAAAAAAGCAGGAAAAAAATACCCTCTGTGGGCTTCTGTGGTAAGACTGTGCTTATCACATTACATACATTTAAACATATCCCAGAATGAGGGGAAAAAAGGCAAAAAATAAAGAAGGGTATTTTGGAGAGAATTCAGAAGAGAAAAAACGAAAGCTGGAAGATTGAATTACAAGAAAAGATTAAGGGAATACAAAGCATTACTTCACTAAACGGTGACTAAGAGCAAGGGTACAAGCATTTGAAGAGTATAACACACCATAGGGA